GCGTCGATTATATGTATAGATATTCTGTTCATTGGATAACTAAAAAGAAGATTGTGAAAATTGCAAAATGATAAAGAACTTGTTATCTCAGTTTAATCCTCTATCTACATATCAGCGTTTTGACAATATTTATTAAACGTGTGCGTGCGTGAGTATGTGCGTGTGTGCGTGCGTGCGTGCGTGCGAGCGTGCTTGCGGGCGCGCGCGCGCGCGCGCGTGTGTGTGTGTGTAACACTGCATGTGTGTGCGTGAGAGTATGTATATAAAACACTGTTCGACAAAAATATTGATTTTTTTTCGAACACTTGAACGAAGCAGCTTATTCCCATAGTTTAGAACGATAAATACGACTCCGATTTTTGAAATTGTACCAGCACATATTATAATATAATAAAATATCTAAAAATAGTCTTTTCTTGCAACTTTAACTATCAATTTCTTAAAATTGTAATGTGATGGAACAATTTAAAAAGCGGATTCGTATTCAACGAAAAAATTCAGTGTTTTGTTTTGTAATTACTTAAAAAAAGAACTAACAATAAGATATAATATTTATTAAAAATATCAAAGTCAATAGAGAAGTATATTGTGTTACCGAAAACCAGTAATGTTGACGCATGTCTGGCAAAGGAAACGAAATGTCTAAATATCTTATATCCTCTATTGGAACAATGTACCATATAGTGCGGAAATGTTCATCCTTGAATGGATATTCAGGGCATATTGGAACTTCAATTTCATTGTTTCGTACTTCGCAAAACAGATCCACTACCATATTTTCGAGTTCATCTAAACTCTCTAAATAGAAAATTTATTTGCTAATAGAAGGTATAGTAATGTTTTCAGATGTTCTTGTCATAAATAGATTCAATAAATTATCGTCGTACCTTTACCAAGAACAGATAGTGACATAATATTTGCAGAATAATACTTTTCATGAAACTCTAATAGTTTATTTCGAACATTAATGCCCTTTTGTTTCGGTATTGTGTCTAATGTTTCTCTATTTCCTATGTTGAATTTCGAAAACGGATGATCTGAGCTCGCAGATGATCTCTCTAATTGATCAAATCGCGTCGCATAAGTTGTTACGTTTTCCTCGTATTCTGAATTTAGAGCATTTAGTTCTAGCTCAATCAAATTCTCGGTAAAGAGAGGCGCCAAGAAAAATTGAGCAAAATGATCTAAAGCGCCTTCTAACTTTTCGGTAGCTACATCGAAATAATAGACAGTGTGATCTAAATCTGTTGTTGCGTAAAACTCACCACCATTCCGTGACAGAAATTTTTTGAAATCATTCTGTTGAGGATATTTTCTCGTTCCTAGGAACAACATATGCTCACAGAAATGCGCTAATCCAGGTAGATCATCTGGATCGCACATAGAGCCTGTAATACATATTTTATCTCTACACTTTGAAATTAATAATTTGACAGTTATTAATAAAAATATGTTAGTTCCATCTCATTATAAAATACAAGTAAATCTAGTAAAAAATGTTAACAATATTAACAATATAAAGTAGTTAAGAAAAATATACATAGACGACAAAAAAAAGTCAGAATATTGACGCGTAGCCTAAAGGCTTAGGACAATCATACAAAATGCATAAGATTCGAGTTCGGTTTTCTCTATATGACTGCGGTCGATTTGGTGCTTTCAGTACTTCTATTCTCATTTTACGTCTAACGAACGATAAAGACAAAATGATGTTTACAAGCGTTTAAAGAGCGTGAGCGTCCAAATCAACCGCAGTCTGTATTTGTTATAATTTATAACATATACAAAATGATTTTATAAAAATGTTCTTATAAAAATCGCTAGAAATATTAGGGAAAATAGTATATAATTACCGGCATTAATGTCCATTGCAGCAGTACTTTTATCAGTTGTTAAATCGCTTATTAAAAGAATTTTCATTTTATTAGTGAGTACCAAACCTCGATATAATCGGTTATTATTTTGTTTTATTATATCATCATATCGCATTTCCACATGTCCAGTCGACATATTGATCATCGGAATAATAAATTCAGAAGTTTGATTTCTAAATATAAAGAAAATGCAAATAAAAATTTTAAGAATGCATGAATTTATTATTTTATTATATCGCTATGTATCAATAATGCTGAAAAATATTCTAAAATCAGAGCGGAGCTATTACGTTATTTTCAACTTCTTAAGGTAATATAAAATTAATAGCAACAAACAATATCTTTTTGCAGTATTGCTTATAACTCATACAATCATGGCTACTTCTTAAGAGCACAAGTATGACTTTTAAATGGAAACAATATGTTTTCCGAGTGTTCTTAAATATTTCGAATTCTCGGTTTAAAGTTACACGCGATTTAGAAGTTTAGTTTTTTCGCGAGATGCAGCGGTTGCATCTCATTTCTCTAGAGGGTTACAGCATGTGTAATCTTGCGCTCGACTGCTTTGTCAAATTATTAGGCATGCTTCGATATAAATAAATGCGATTTATAACGCGTTGATTATTCTAGCTTTCTTTCCCACTGTTTACGTTCGTCGGGAATTGTCTCGTGTTTATCTCTCTGTTTTGGTCTTTTTTTTTCTGCCTCGAACAATTCAGCATTCTTTCGCGCGGATTTAGCTATATTCGGTATTTTTCACGGGGAGGGATTCGTTTGTACTATTCGTTTACATAAAAGGAAAAACTGTCCTTTATATTTAAATTGCAATAGGGTAGTGGCGATAAATTTGTTACAATATAATAAAAATAATAATAACAAAAAAAACATAAAAGATAATTACAAGGATAATTTTCCTATTATTTCTTTTAGAAAAAAACAATTTAGGAGAAATGTAAAAGAACTACTTATATAATTACATATAAAATTATACGTAATTTCATATGATGGCTTTGAGAGACAGATACGTTATGTACATGAAAACATACTCTCTCTCTCTCTCTCTCTCTCTCTCTCTCTCTCTTTCGCACGATGCTTCTATAATGAGAAAACAGCGTAATATTGTTTCACAAAGATCTTGTATTACCTCGTAAGAGAAAAGAAAAGTAATAAAGCCACTCGGCGTCGTGTTGACGACACCTACAATGAAATTTGAACGAAGCTGCTGACAGTCTCCCGATATTGTCGTGAAATCGTCAACCGAGGGAGTCTTAGAATTGTCAATCATGTCAAACCACTTTGATTTAATGACCAACGTAAATATTCGACATGATGACGCGGCGAACAACAGGAACTGTGTTCTTCTCGGGTATAGTAGGACGATGACGAGTAATAACTCGCTTTTGCAAAGAAATGTAAACACTTCAAGAGCAGGCAAAATTGTTCATACACGAGCGGCACACGAAATTTTAACGCGCGCATGACGAACATCGAAACAATCGGAGCATCGGGAAACGGAGACGTATCTGACAAATTGCAAAGTCGGAACAACACGAAGTTCTACACTCACTATCCGCTGTGATTCGTCCATCAAATCAACTTATATCACTGGTAGCCAATTAGGATTGTCAATTGACGGTTCTGTATTAGCGAATCATCGCAATGTATGGGCCACTTCATCGTAAATAATTATTGGCTAAAATAACTCAACCGATAAGCATAATCAGAAGTAATGCGATTATAACTTTACGGTTTAATGAATAAATAAAAGCTATGATAAAAGCATGTTGGAATAATTATTCGATTAGATGATTGAAATTAGTGATTATATGATCACTAATTGTAAGTTAGTCGAAGTTTTTAATTCAAATTAATTGAGGACCGTGCGAAATTCGCAATCCGGATAAAACCTCTTTACGCAGTCAGTATCAAACCATCTCCAAGTGACCGTGACTTTGATCTTAACTCTTAAGAACATCAAGGTCATTAACCTTTTTCGTCGCCGTTATTTATTAAAAAGTTATGAATAAAAATGTTTTTATGAATAAAACACTTTTTTAACACATTCCAACAAGAAGAATGTATTACATTTTATTCATTACTTGACAATATATCATTTAATGGGTCGCGTGGAAGTCGTGCCCCCCCCCCTCTCCCCCAAGGGGGATAAGTGGCAGTGAGAGTCGCTTTGCGTAGAAATCTTGTGCCCATAAGTATTGGGGGGGGGGGGGTGTAGAGAGGGTGAGAGTCGCTATTCGTGGAAGTCGTATTATTCATAAAAACGTTTTTATTAATAACTTTTTATTAAATAATGATCGACGGAAAAGATCGATGACCTTGATCTCTTTTGAGAGTTTTCAGAGTAAGTCATTTGAGGCTGGCTGTGTACAGGTGGAGTTTTACCAAACAAAGTAACAAGCAAAGAGTTAATTATCATTCTATAGCTTTCTATCAAATTTCGCTGGTTGAAAAGAAAAAACTTTTTGTTATTTTTACTTTGACCATTGTTAACGGCAACAATTACTAATGCGTGCTTTAACGCTAGTTGATAGACAGTTTATTTAGTTTCCTTCAAGACAACTTTTTGTGATCGGCAAGACGAGCTTCCTCGAATCGATCGATGAATCAGTGGAATTGATCTCACTAAATTTGTCCATCGTCTTTAGAATGTCGACATGTGCCGACGACTGAATCAAATTCAAGGCAACTTGGATAATAGAAATACAAGTCGTGTTCTACCAGAAGATATCTCGCATGCCGCATTCAGGCGCAACCTTCCATAGAGGGTCAACATATTTTTTCTGAAAAGCGGATCCGATTATCGAATTAGTTAATCGATCGATTTATCAGAGAGTCAGTAAAATTATAAAACACCATTAATATTTGAACTGTAAAATCTACATTTTTTTATGCATCAATAAGTATTACATACTTATTTAAGTTATTAGCATACACGATTGGATCATTCATGTCTTGCACATTTCTTTTCTTCGGAAAATTAGGAGTATCAAATAATTATTTGTAATTTACATACAATTTTTTTTAAATATACAATCTTATGAATACGTTCTAAAGATGTTAAGGTATATGTGAAAATCACTTTTTTAATTATTTTTGTATATTTGTTAAGATGATAAAAATTAACTCGTAACATGAATGACCCATCGTGTGCAGTAAAGAACTGGAAAAATATTGTGTTCATTAAAAGTTAAAATAAGGTACTTACCTTAGAAAATGTAATTATAAGATTATTTAAGAACAATCTTATATATAATTGTAAAAAATAAAATACTTATAATATATGTTATCAAATCAAATTTAATAAATTTTATCTATTATTCTATTTTTCTACGCGATTTTATGTTCGTAACTTTTTACACTTTGCTCAGTAAAAGAATAATACTTTTCATAATGCATATCAAGAACCGGACGTGCATGTTTGTGGCAATCTTTTTGCTAAAGATGACTTTTACGACCGGCTCCCAAAGTATTGCGGCCGCCTCGTGATTCACCTTATATACGAGCGACTCATTAGCAGGAAAGCGGAACCGCGATCCATATCGAGACCGCTCCGATCATCGCCCACGAGCGAAGCGCGAATTTGTATGATTTGTAACTTAAACGAACTCCAACCGGACGATGCGTTATAAAGAGGCACGCTCCTGCATTATACGACCTACGTACGCTTTGCATTTGGTGCGTTCGTGGGCGACAAATTGCGGTAAATTGCCACGAAAATCAGGAAATCGTATGTTAAATCGAGACCCAGGTCGGACTGTTCTTATTTCACCGACTGTACATTGTAGCTAACTTTTGATTGACACGCGCGGATTAAGTTGTTGGCGGATTTCTTCGCCTAAATATGTAACGAGAAAAATATTCACTGCTAACACACGCGACATTATGTTGTCTTAACGATATTACACTGTTAGATATCAAAAAACCTAATTTCTTAATTATTTTTAATTTCTTAAATTAATCTATTTCTGTGGTTAGTTTCAAAGCAAACAACGTCCATATAACGTACTACACTTAGTAAATAATAAATAAAAATTTAAGTTAAATTTAATACATTTTTCTTGAGTTAAATTGTTTAACTTCATTGTTTTAATTAAATTATTATTAATATATATAATATTAAATAGGAACAGTGACGATCTATAGAAATGATTAAAATTAACTCAAATTAAGTATAATATGATATTATAAAAAGTGTATCGACTTTTTCATAATTAACATATTTGAATTTTATTATCTCGACTATATTTGTAATTTTATTAAGATTATTAAAGAAATTGCAATTTTTTTAAAATTATAAAAGCTTTTTTATTATATTCATATATTAATATATTTTTCCAATTATTATATGAGTAATATACTGAATCTGATAATAACGTGAGTACTGTAGACTTCTGCAGCTAATTGCTGACCTTGCCCGACGATCGCGATAATCGACTTTGCATATTCGGTAATTGCTGCTCATTAACCGACGTAACAATATACCTAGCCAGCTAATGAATGAAACATAAAAATTACTTATCGTCACGTAAGAGTAGTGAAAAGCGCGTGGATGCGTACCTTAGAGTAAAATTATAGTATTTTAGAAATCATAATCACAATGGTGATATACCGACCCGGCGCATCCGTTAATAAGACAAAGCTATATTTACAGTCTATTCATAAAATCTTCCTTTTCTTTCTTTTATTATATAAATTAACTACACACTGCCATTTCACATTTATTGATAACTCAGGTCAACTGCACTCGTTACATCATCGATGTTATTACGTTTGCATGACTACGTCGATGTACTAGTGGTTGATTGCTCTTTACTACTTCCTCATTGCTCTAAGAATTATTTTACGTCCTAATTAATTTTGACTCGTAGCACGCGATGACAGGATCATAAAACTTACGAAATATTGCTAAACGTTTCTGAATCTCCCTAATACGAAATTATAATCATCAATTACATAATTTTTAAATAATTTAAGCTTAAGATAGTTTCTATAATAAATTTATTTTTGTCCTAAAACGTAAGTTATAACTATATAATTTATAAAAATTATATTAAGATGTTAATATTATTACTTCAGAAAATAAAAATTGTTATTTGAAACAAGCAAAAAGTCTGTGTTGTGTATTAAAATAAAATTTTTAAATTATTATATAATTTG